GATGCATCGATCCGGTTGACCTCCACTACTTGTTGTAAGTACCGTCATGGCTTATACCTCTGTTCGTACGACTGCATCGATCCGGTCGACCTCCACTGCGACTCTGGTATAAGTTAGTTATCGATTATTGCCTAGTTCAAGTATGGCTGCATCGATCCGGTGGACCCCCACTGCATGAACTAGATCAAGGTCAAGTTATCGGCTCTACCTTAGAATGGCAGTCTTTGGTAGATTCATTAAGTTACCGATATTGCTTATTGCTTTCCTTATTTATCTAATTACAGCAATATCACTCTGCCGATTGGGATTGATCTAGATCGGCCTTATATCTTGTTTAGCCCATCATTTGTTAATCTAAAACTGACCTAATCTATACCTTAAACGATGAGTTACGTTTTATCGGTTGTTTTACGTCAATCTTGATCATGCATAGCGTGCGGTTAAAGCATGTTGCGTCTTGAGTAGATTTATTGGCTAGCGAGAACCGTTCCATGGCCCGTTATCATGGCCTGTGTGATTCTGCCTCATACCCCATTGTTAGCACCGTGGAGTGGGGATCGTTATTTGATAGATCTATTCCTGATAGGGCATGACTTTAACTGTGCGCTATGCCAGAATCGGCTGTTTTAGCCGATGCCGAGTGCTTTTACGAACAGTTCGCATCACGAGACTGTTGAAGTAAAGATAGGTTGAAAGATATGTTAGCCCCATGATCTTATTATTGTATTATGGCCTGCATGATTCTGCCTCATGCCCCGCTGATATTAGTAAGAAACTGATCTAATCTATACCTTAAACGATGAGTTACGTTTTATCGGCTGTTTTACATCAATCTTGATCATGCATAGCGTGCGGTTAAAGCATGTTGCGTCTTGAGTAGATTTATTGGTTAGCGAGAACCATTCCATGGCCCATTATCATGGCCTGTGTGATTCTGCCTCACACCCCATTGTTAGCACCGTGGAGTGGGGATTGTTATTTGATAGATCTATTCCTGATAGGGCATGACTTTAACTGTGCGCTATGCCTGAATCGGCTGTTTTAGCCGGTGCCGAGTGCTTTCACGAACAGTTCGCATCACGAGACTGTTGAAGTAAAGATAGGTTGAAAGATATGTTAGCCCCATGATCTTATTATTGTATTATGGCCTACATGATTCTGCCTCATGCCCCACTAATATTAGTAATGAGTTAGGGTCATCGAGTCTATGTTATTTCTACGGCCTGCATGATTCTGCCTCATGCCCCACTAGTCATAGCGATAGATGAGATCTAACATGTTCATTAGATTTATCTTTATTAAACAGTTAAGTGATGTTGAATTGTTTCTTTATATAAAAGGAGTTCGGTTGCTCGTAATCATTGGCTCAGCATAAACCAATCATTGTTGACATCTTATTGCCATTGATTAATATTTGCTCAAATAACGACATTTATCTTGAATGATAACCGATTCTTCTTATACAACCCAATGAGCTTTAACCGATTTGTTCTCATGAATATGCTAGAATCGGCTGTTTAGTCGATCTCCTCTCATATCGGCTCTCAGAGCCGCACATTCGGGACTGTCTGGCAACACCGACAAGTTTCGCCCTTAATTACTGATGAACTTTCTCTCTTTGTCAATTATAGGGTCAAATTGACTGGCACATCTCGGGAGGAGCGCGCAAGATCGACCATCCCTGCGCTGAAGCTAGGTGGATCTATAGCTCCATCGAGTAGATCCTTCCAGCTTGCTGCGTGTGTCCTCGGCATGGGATGAAAATTCCGTGTCGACAGAGGTGTAGTACGCCGAGCCGATCAGCGATGAAGTCCAGGCTTCCGAAGAGGAAGGCCTAGGACGGCTCGAAGACGGGTGGAACCCACATCCCAACCAGTGGGAGTACGGAAAACTCTAGAGAGCCGAAGCGAGTCATATCGCTTGAGCCCACCATGGCGAAGGTGGCGGAAAAGTGGGCCATCCGATGACCAAAAAGTGTTGAACGTACAACGTCTTCCCCACGGACGGCGCCAACTGTTGGTGCAGAAAGTGACCAATAAGTAAATATTTGTAGTTTTGCCATACGTTGTGATCAGAGGTGGCCTAGTACTTAATGACATAGGGTTTATACTGGTTCAGGCAACGTGCCCTATGTCCAGTTTGAGTCGGTCGGTGACTTTATTCCTGAGCCTAGGTGCTCGAAGTTTGCAGTGGGGTTACAAACGAGAAGGAGAAAGATGGGGGGGTACAAGAGGTCCGGTCGGACTCCGGTCGGAAGGGCCGAGAGTGACAGGAGCCCCGCTACGAGCTAAGTGTTCAAGCGTGTGCTTGAGGTTCGAACCTGGCGGTTTCGTGGTTGTGAACTAATGAACTTGATCGATATGATGAATCTGACCAAACTTAATTGACCTCAATGTTGGGTGAGAGCGCATCTTATTTTATAGATGAAGGGGATGGCCTTACAAGTCAGAGGGAGAGAGTACGCATGCTTCTAAGCCTTATTGCCCACGCCGGCGGGTACAGGATGATGGTAGGTGCCCACAACACTGTTGGATGTCAGATGCACGTGGGAGGTTGTATTGTCCTCTTCGGGTATGGCAGACATCGACGCCTGCCACACTGTTGATACCTGGAGGCATGCAAGGGGTTTTACCATGTTCGCCTGATACGGTGAATACCGGCGCCCATAACACTGTCGATGCCCAGAGGCACGTGAGGGGAGCCTTACCGTATGGGAGTTAATGGCGCCCACAATACTGTAGGGGAAAATGTCGGCGCCTACAACACTGCTTGGGTTCTGACGTGCCAGGGAGGTCGCAGAGTACTGTTTCCGTACGTGTACAGGGTACGGACCCCGGTATTGCGGTTTGACTTGTGCGCCATGCCTTACTTTCTCCATCTGTTTTCTGGTCCTTATCGAGTGGGCGTCCCCGGTCGGTTAGTCCCAGTCGGCTCTGACCGCGCCAGTCGGAGAAGAGTAGTGAGCAGGGCTTGGCGCATCCCCGATCGGAGACGTGGGGTCGGAGTTAGAAGTAGTGCTTTGGCCAGGCCTTCCGGTCGGAGAGGCCGTCCGGAGGCGGGCTGGAGACCGAAGCGAGCGCTCCAGTCGGAGAGGTGGGCCGGAGTCGGTAAACGGGTGTCGTTCCTTCTCGGCCAGGCCTTCCGGTCGGTGATTGGATCGCCCTTCTGGCTTGTTGTTTAGGTACTTGGGCCGGCCCATGAGTTGCGCATTGTTTGCAACATTGCCTGCTGGACCGAGCCTTTGTTCGGAAGTCGGTCCGCGAGGGGCCCCGGGTTTATGAACCCGACAGTCCCTGAGGAAGTGGAACTTGATGTCGATGTGCTTGCTCCGGTCGTGGGGAACCGGATTCTTTGTGAGGACGAGGGCGATGGCGGGCTGATTGTCCACCATCATTCTACATACTAGTCACATTTAACTAGTGTCCTGCAGAGTAATTCTGAGAAAGTTTTTTTTAACAGCATTCTGTATACCAGTCAGTCACATTTAGGGCCTATTTGATATAAGAGCTAATTGCTAGGTAGCTAAAAATTAGCCAGAATTAGCTCTAGCCCATCCAAACAAAAGGACTAATAGGTGGGCTAGCCAAGTCGTCGACGAGTTGTTATAGCTAGTCAACCTCAGCTAGTTTGAGCTAATTTTTTGCCCAACAAGTAACTAGTCCTAATTCATCCAAACAGACCTTTAACTAGTGTCCTGCCGGGTAATTTTCTTTACACTCTTCTCTTTCAGTTGTGGTATCCTTTTACACTTTGTGCTATGAGATTTTTATAGTGACTATTGCTTTGCTACAACATTTTTCTAACTCAGATCAACATTGTGGTCAAGTTTTAAGTACTGCTCCACAATTTGTGACGGGATTTTGTTTATCGGTTATAGAATATACTGTATGTAGGTTCCTTTCAACATTCCAAGATCAGCTGACTGTTTGTAATAAGCACTATTATTTTAGTTTTGACAACCCTGCTTGTTTTAGCTTGCGGATTGTGTATTGCACCTTTGCAGATTTTTACAAACCGCATACTAGGGGGAGCACATTGTTTGATTGTAACAGCACGCGGATTGTTACAATCTGGAACCTGTTTGTTTCAGCTTGCAACCTGCAAGCTGCGGTCCACAGTCTGCAAGCTAATACAAACAGTGCCATAGCGCTATTGTGGTGTGTTTGGATGCAGCCCTGGCCTAGGAACGCGTGCCAGGCAGGAGCGATGCCTGGTGCAGGCAGCTTTTCTACACTGCCATGCAAACAGGCCATAGAGTTTCATGTTTTGAAACATGGAGTTTAGGCATTTATTGTGAGATCAGTAGTTGAGATTACCTTACAGTGTCTTGCGAAAATTAGACAAAAAAAGGTGCTGTGCTCCATCAAGCTCTAGACACCAGATGTGGTGGCTGTAACTCAAGCTTGTAGCTTGTATGCAACTGTGATGAGTTTCAGTATAAGAAGCCATTGTTGGGTCTTGGGTGTCAGTATTCTGATTTTGTTCTTGGTCCCTGTCAGATTTGTATAATGCAATCCTCGGTTGTCCTCTTGGTCACCTTAACTGCCACGATTGAGCCATTCTTGTTAAACACAATATATATGATAGGAAGGCTGGAATTGGTTAGCTAGTTCAGATTAGAAAGGAAAATTACGCTGTTATAACTTTAGAGAATGTAAGGCCTGAGTGTTTTCGGACTCGGCAAAGGATGCTCAATTTGTAACTGGGTTGCCTAGGAGCATTAAAAAAACAAAAAAAAAACAAAACAAATAGGTAACCAAAATGCTTCTAAGAATCATCGGTGCTAAATTAAGCAGAGTTGACATGTAAATAGAATTTATTAGTGCTTATACTTCATCATAATTAATGAAAATACTTTGTGATGAGATGATTTACTATCCAAAAAATGATTTAGCTGCTATAAGGTCAACTTTAGACCCTTGCTGTGGCTTTACCTGCATGGCGTGATTTATCAATTTCTCTTCTAAGGATCTGCTGAGCAGCAGAGCGGATGAAGTAGAATGGCTAAAGCAGCTGATAGGGGCAAAATGTATGTTTTCAGTTGTCTGCTAGCTGTGAAGCTTGACCCATTGCCAAGGTTTGTTTGAACCTATTGCCTGGACGACGAGAAATGATATATCTCCACATAATTCTCTTTTTGACCTGCTCTTGTGTATAGCTTGAGAACCTGCTCATGTGTAGTTGTCTTAAAGATTGCTTCCCCATTCCATTTACAGGGCCAGCTTATGCAAATAACCATGATGGTTCCACCTTCGTTCCCGCAAGAACTCCACTATCTGGACAAGGAGGACAGGCTGCTTCGCTGGCTGGTCGTGAAGCACAGAGACGCGGTATACGGACTGGAGTTCATCAACGAGGATGACGGGAGGAACGAGCTGAGCGGTTTCAGCCAGGCTCATACGAAGGATGACTATGATATCGAAATTGACTCCGATGATGACCGCTGGGACGACGACGACTCGGACGACGACGAGTATGCAATCGAGGTGGAGGAAGAGGAGGAGAAGGAGGAAGAGGAGGAGAAGAAGTAGAACTGCTTTGCCAGGTTTCTGCTGTCTCATCTGTATTGGCAGATGCGTTTTCTTTGAAATCAAATGTTGTCTTTGTAATATCTCTGACTTTTTATAAAGCTGTAGGATAGGATGAGAGGCAGAACCTATTATCAACTTGATTTAACACACTTTTGCATTGTCGAGCATGCTTGTCATTAGATATTTCAGGCGTGCTCTGCTTCTTGGAAGCATGGTGTGTAACGTTCTACGGCCGCTGACAGTTACTACCAGGTTCTACAGCAGTTTGAATGTTTGATCCGTTCATACAACAACACAGGTGTATCATTTATTTCATCAATATAATTTTGTACAAAGAGGTGTTGCTGCTACATATATATGATCTGCGCCAGACAAGGATCGAAGCATCAGAATATGTCTACCGGCGGCAGGTGAGGATCGATCATAATTCGGAGTTCAGAAGAGGTGATCCGCCAGCCTCCAGAGCCACCGGAAGATGCCTCCTTCGTCCTCGTCGTCGGAGTCCGAGTCGCAGTCAGAGTCGGAATCGGAATCGTACGGCCGCCTCTCGTCGTCCTCCGACTTCCCCGACACGGCCGGCCAGCCCCACCCGTCCTCCTCCGCGGTCGTCGTCTCCTCTGAGCTGGGCCGCACCTCTAACGCTGACGCGCCAGCACTGGTCGCCTCCACGCGGGCGGCGTCGCCCTCCTCCTCGGGCACAGCAAGCGCGGTGCCCTGCTCATCGGCTGCTGCCTCGGCGCAGTCCGCGGCAGCCCCCACCGGCCTGGGCAGGGGCTCGGCAGCCGCCTTGCGGTCGACGAGGACGACGGCATCGGCCGCCCGTGATGCCGGAAGGTCCACGGGGCGGCGCGCCGGCGCGGTGGCCACGAGGAGGCAGCAGACCGCGAGGGCGAGGACGACGGTGGCGCAGGCGCGGGCCATGTGGCTAAGCTAACAGCCAGGAGTGACGACTAGAGCCAACGACGACGAGAGGGGAGGGAGTAATGGACGGAGTCGGCGAGCATGAGAATGAGATTAGTATCAAACTTAATTTAATAGAGGATTTGGAGCTGGATTAGTCGCTAAGGAAGCTTCCCTCGTCGTTTTCGTGTTACGAGAGGGGAGACGACTAGAGAGCAAGCACGCAGGCAGGCAGCGGGGAAGCGGCTGTTGCTGACAGCACAATCGCTTGACGCTTGGTGCACCATGGCTGTTGCTGACAGGGAGGAGTGTTGGAGTCAGCATGCTTCCAAGCCATATAGGATGAAGGCGAAGTAGTGGCATTTTGGCCCGTTCGTTTCGCTGAAAAAACAAGCCGAAACATTGTTCCGACTGATGTGTCGTGAGAGAAAAATATTGTCCCGATTAAAAAAACAAGCTAAAAAATACGGATTTTAAGAGAAGCGAACAAAGCCATTGAGATGGTAGATTGGGTGTGCGCAGGGGCATATACCCTTAAGGAAAAAAAAACTGCCCTCAGCTAGCCAGCACTAGTTGAAGGACACGTGGACGCCTAAGAGGGGGGGTGAATTAGGCAACTTAAAAACTAACTCTAAACTATGGCCTCTTTTTCTACTTCTAGCAAAACCTATGCAAAAGATAATCTATCTAGATGTGCAACTACGGTTTTGCTAGTGTGTTGCTATCTCTACCGCAAATGATAATAATATGATCAATGTAAATGCGGAAGCTTAAAGAGCAAGGTAGAGATATGCAAACTCCGTCGATGACTCCGTATTTTTACCGAGGTATCGAGTAGCGCCGCAAAGCTTCCCCTAGTCCTCGTTGGAGCCCCTCGCAAGGAATCCCTCGAAAGGGCCAAGCTCCCGGTCGGGTAACTCCGTGGATAGCCTCGGGCCTTCCCCACGCGCAAGTGGGTCTCCGATGTGCCTTCCGGCAAGCCTCTCCCGGATGCTCCCCGCCGTCTTCACTATCAAGCTTTTAGCCGAAACGCCACGGGCCTTGTTCCCTCCGGTACACGGTGGTGGCGGCCACACCACAAACGCGGTTGGTGTGATCTCGCAAGACTTCAAGCCCCTCCGATGTACAACACTTGTGCTCACAAGCACGGGGTGGCAAGAGGTATGCAAACCTCACTTAAACACTAGGCAAACACCTAGAGCAAGCGCATAAGCGATGGTCTAATCAACCTAAGCACTTCGCAAAGCACTTATGCTAATCACCTAATAAAACACTAAGCACTATGCATGTGGAGATCACTCAAATGGTGTATCAACACTCTTGATATGTTTCCTCAGCTCCACTCAACACAAATGGCCGGTTGGGGGTTGTATTTATAAGCCCCACTGAGAAAGTAGCCGTTGGGGTCGAACTCCCGCAATTACGCTACGACCGACGCCAATCGCCCTCGACGGACGCGTCCGTCGTCCCGACCGTTAGCCGCTGAACTACCGATCGGACGCTGCCAGTTCGGTGCTTCTGCCACCGACGCGTCCGGTCGCGATTCAAGGCTGAAACCTCTTCAGACTCGATCGGACGCTGCGTTCCTCGTCCGGTCGGTTCTACCGCCAGCGTCCGGTCCTTGCGTCCGTCGCTTTGTCTGCCGAAACCACCGGTCCAGTCGTCCGTCACGCTTCCAGCGTCCGGTCCAGCGTCCGATCGCCTCTGAAGCTTGTTTCTTTTATGATCTTGCGCACGGCTTGGTTCCTATCTTCATGCTTGGACTTTGCTTGACATCTTGGGTCTTTTCTTGTGCTTCTAAGGTCTTGCTTGAGGTGTTGATCATCGGATCATCACGTCGCCTTCGTCCAAGTCACGTCTTGCACCCTATTGGACTACAAAACAAACACTTGCAAATTCATTAGTCCAATTTGGTTGTGTTGGTCATCAAACACCAAAATCCAAAGTAAATGGGTCAAGGATCCATTTTCCTTACAATCTCCCCCTTTTTGGTGATTGATGACAACACGACCAAAGCAAGCAAATGATAAAAAATTTAAATTTAAAAATTATCTACTTGCTAGGATGCAATGCAAAGAGCAAGGTTATATGATACTAATTGATAGATACCAATTAAAACTTTACTCAAAAGCATGTCTTGCCCTTGCAAATGTCCCCATGTGATATTATGGATTAGAGCCTATCTTGTTTTAAAAAAAAATTCCCATTACATAGACTAATCCATAATTCACTTTCCTCCCTTTCTCGGACCATTACCACTTGTAGACATCAACTTGATGCTTGCCTTTGGTCCTTCAAATTCTCCTAGGATGCAATGCAAAGAGCAAGGTTATATGATACTAATTGATAGATACCAATTAAAACTTTACTCAAAAGCATGTCTTGCCCTTGCAAATGTCCCCATGTGATATTATGGATTAGAGCCTATCTTGTTTAAAAAAAAATTCCCATTACATAGACTAATCCATAATTCACTTTCCTCCCTTTCTCGGACCATTACCACTTGTAGACATCAACTTGATGCTTGCCTTTGGTCCTTCAAATTCTCCCCCTTTGGCATCAAACACTAAAAAGGAAGACATTAGTAGCACAAGGGAGGGTCAAATTTCATGATCCTTTGTGTATAGAGTGAAATGGATCACAAAATTTGACTCTCGCATTATATAGACTAAATATATGCATACATATGGTAGAAAGCAAAGCATATGCATAATTAGCAAATTGTTGCACGAGAGAGTTTAATCTATATAATGCATGGAGAAAGCATATAAATATGAAATGAAATCAACATGATGATGCCAACTGAAGAACGATGCTTCTCTTCGGGGACTCCATTTTCCTTGCAATGAGACCACTACACACATGATAAACTTGAAAAAGGTGTTAGTCTCAAAGCATCCATCTTGTAGATGATCCTCCCCCTAAATTTGTGCATGGAGACATGGAATACTTGTAGTACTCATGCACAATTGATTTTGGAGTCAAAATACCACTTGAAAGATGATATTTGGGAGAAAATTATCTACAATTTGGACTTTGGCACATATTAGATAAACAATAGTAAGACAAGCTATGTGCCATGCTCCTAAGCAATTTTAAACCATGTAGGTTTGCTCCAAGGGTTATAAATGAGACCGAGCAAGCCTACCATATGAAATACCTAGTGTATGCATGACAAAAGATATAAGCATGCAAATGCAACCCTAGGCATGAAAAGTAACTAGATGCTTAAAGATATCAATTGTAGGAAAAACTAATTGCAAGATGTACCAATTTAAAAGCAATAACATCTAGTTACCTAACATGGGAAGGGAAATTTGGGTCCATAGTATTCACTAACCCACTTGGCAATGGTTTTGTCCATCATGATGCACCCCATGAAATGCACCCATACTTTGCCAAGTCTCCAAATTCCCCGTGGTCTGATGGACTTCTTACTTCCCTTTCGGGATCCAAACCTTCTTGGTGCTCTTCATGTTGGAAATGATTTCCTTTGGCACCCAAAAGCGTTTGACCCCATTGTTTGCTTGCTTGTTCACCTTGATGGCCACCACCTTGTCATTTTTCTTCTTCTTCAAGAGATAAGGTGTGGAGGCCTTCTTGTCCACCTTGTTGGTGTAGGTGTTGGAGAGCTTGCTTGTTTGCTTTTTTTCCTTCATCTTTGCTCCTCCCTCATTCTTCACCTTGCACTCATAGGACTTGTGACCTTCTTTGTGGCACACGTAGCAAACCACGGTTTGTCCTTCATCAAGCTTCTTCACTCCCTTGACGGTGTTATCTTGATGAAGTTGGGTTTGCTTCGCCTTGCCTTTCATTTGAGTCAAGTCCTTGGTGAGGCGAGCTACTTCTTGCTTGAGTTGCTCATTCTCTTTTGCAACCTCTTGTGTGCATGTATCTACAATCACTTTCTTAACACAAACTTGGTTGCACAAAGGTGAGTCTAAACATAAATCATTGCAAGAGGTAGATGCATCCTTTTTAATTATGTCATTTCTTTTAGATGCCTTGGTGGGGGTATTTTTTACGGCCTCAAGATTAGCAACTTGATTTGTTAGCTCATCACAATGTTTGCACATGATTTCCATTTTAGCAAGCAAACT